TTTTACTGTGTATTCTTTTTAAAAAATTCCATGATGCAGTTTTAAACAGACCGAACTGACTCACTGGAAATGTATAATGAAGATAATAGTTACACGTGCTGCTTCCTCTTGAAATCAAGTGGTATGGTTTGGCTCTACAGTGAGTCCCACAGTCAACTGGTCCTCACTCTGTGTTTGAATGTGGATTTATGCTCCACCCTTTCCTTTCCTCATTTCTGGGCATCAGGAAATCTCTCTAGTTCGAGAAGTCCAGATCTCTCTAGTTCGAGAAGTCCAGATCTCTCTAGTTCGAGAAGTCCCCTGCCCAGGAACCCCAACTAGACCAGGCTATCCTCTGGTCACACTTTTTCTCTGCAAACCTTGTCACTGCATTGTCTGTTGGAAAAGTCTAGAGCCAGCCAAAGTTTTTCTTCATAGGTGACTTTGCTTCTCTGGAGCAAATCTGTGCAGAATTTTTTGTTCTTGGCAGTTGGATAACTTGTCCAAGCTCGGCCTTGGCGTGGATCGTTCTCCCAGTTTTCCTGAGCTCTTTCACAGGCAGATTCATTCTCCTTCATTTCTGGGGAATTCACTTTCATCACTTCTGTTTCTCCATTCTGCTCTTGGGTTACAGACTTCAGAGGCAGGACACCTCTTCTTTCTTGCTTACATTGGTGGTTTTTGCACAATGGTCATCTCAAACCTTTCCTTCATTTAATTTGAAAAAGCCTAATTGATTTATCATTTCTAAAGTGGTGTGATTAGTCCTACGTTCATCTCCTGAGCTTTGCATCTTTTTTATCCATTGTGTGTCACCCCATGGCCTTGGGATTGTTGCCTTATTGCTGCGTTTTTTATTTGTTTGTCTAGAAGGTAAAGCGCTCTGTGGAAGTTTGACTTGGTTATTTTCCATGTATGCGTTTTTCGGGCTGGGTTCCCCTCTCTCCCTCCCTTCCTTCCTTCTTTTCTTCTCCATCACGTGCTAAATCTTTTCACCTTGCTCATATTTAATGCAGGTGGTTTTGGTGAAGTGGTTGTGTTCTGATGCCTGGACTGTGATCTGGGTACTTGCGCGTAATAGCAGTGAGATTTGGGGCAAATCACTCTCTGTGCTTCATTCTTTTCCTCTGTAAAGTGTGAATAGTGATAAATCCCTGTCTTCTCAGGTTGTCCAGGGGACCTAGTGAGATAAGTGAGATAAGAGTTCTCTGGCACACTGGTCATACCACTCCTCTTGTTTGCTCTGATGGCACACAGGTGTCTCTTACTATGCCCCTTCCTTTTCTGGCTCGCCGATCTTTCTTCTGAGTTCCATTTGAGGCTGGAGCAGTGTATGTTCTGAATGCTGAAAGCAGAAGACAGGTGGATCAGAGTCTGCCCATGTCTGGCTCTGAGTCTCAGCTCTGTTGCCTCTTCTGAAACTGGAGGTTCTGCTGTGGGTGGATTCTGTCACACAAAAGGTGTCACAGTCCTTGGCATCTCTAGTTTGGGGTGACTCCCACATTCAGCTTGAGCCCTGGAGAATGGAGATGTAGGGTAAGCTCTGTTCCCACCATGTCCTCAGAATCTGTCTGGGCATAGGCACCAATGTCCTCCTCTCATAGTTTTCCTGTCCAGCTCCGCCTCCCCTCCCTCCTCCCTCCCCCACCCCTGTTGCCCTCTGCTCAATTTGCTGCTGTCTGAATTGATTAATGCCCTTGCTTGTGACCACAAGGGGTGGGGTCAGCATTCCTCTTCCCAGTCACCTCCTTCCAAAGAGTGTGGACTGAGGGGTGATTCCTTTCTTCTTTTTTTATTTTCTGCTATGAAAACATTTCCTGGCTTTTGTTTTGCACCTTTTCTTGTTGAGAAAGTACTATTCTCTGCTTGAATTTTATTTTGCCATCTTTATCCAAATCTTGTGGTGAGCTTTGAAAAAAGAAAAGAAAGAAAGAAAACCTCCAAACATTCCTGAGCTCCACCCTGGATCTTCCATTTGGGAAGATCTGGAAAGGGCCCAATGAGCTCAGTTTGAAAAGCCTCTCTGTGGCCATCTTCATTCAATGATGTATGTTTTCCTCTTTCCTATCAGTTAGTCTACCTGAAGAGCAGGTTGAATATAGAAAACACTTCTCGTTTCTTAGACAGATCCCATAAATTTAAAGATGATTTTGTGTGTGTAGTTTTATTTCCCTGCTTGTTTGGAAAATGAGTGAGTACAAATAGGGTGAACAAGCCTGTCCCCAGGGCCCAGAAATGGGAAGATGATTTTTTTGTAGTGCTCCTGGAGAGAGATCCTTGGATGTGGTATTCATTTCTATATCTCTTAGCTTTTAGGTTTCTGCTAGTATTTAAAAGTGAATAATTTAGCAGTGTTTTTGAGAAGCACTTGAATGTTACATACATTCAAAGTAATCCTCATTTATCAGAACTTACCAGTCTTAACAGCATATCACCAACAACAAGTCTTTAATCCTGTTTAGGATTGGACTGGTAAAAGGGAACTCTTTAGAGGGGGGCTGGGCTTCATGGTGCATGCCTACAATCCCAGCTACTTGGGAGGTGGAGGTAGGACAATTGAAGTCCAAAGTCAGCCTGGCAAAAGCATGAGATCCTATCTGAACACCAAACTAAAAGGAAGAGGACTATGGTGTGGTTCAAGGAGTAGAACACTTGTCTAGTAAGCAGGAGACCCTGAGTTCAAACCCAGGACCACCTGTTTTGCCTGGATCAATTCAAGCTAGTTTTCCTTCAACTCCTTGTAGCATTTCAATGATTTTTATGGGTGATAAGGATTAGAAATTAAAAAAAAAGAAGATGGATTTAAGTAAACCTTTAAAATAATAGGGTTAGGATTTTTTTGGGGGGTTTTTTTGTTTGTTTGTTTTGCGGTACTAGGACTTGAACTCAGGGTCTACACCTTGAGTCACTCCACCAGCCCTATTTTTGTGATGGGTTTTTTTTTAAGATAGGGTCTCATGAACTATTTACCGGGGCTGGCTTTGAACTGCAATGCTCCTGATCTCTGCCTCCTGAGTAGCTATGGTTACAGGCGTGAGCCACCAGCACCTGGCTTTAAAGTAATAGTTTTGAAAGAATTTCTATGTGAGGTGTGAATTTTAGAAATGGTGTTTTCATTTTGTAAGTTATAACTAATGAAAGAAATAGAATTTAAAACTGTGCACTAGAAATATTTCCCACAGGCACACTGGGCTTTTCCAGTATTTCAGCCTCCCTTATACATTATTCTAAATACATGGGGGAAAGGATCTATTGTTGAGATGGTGATGTTCTCATTTGCAGATTCCCCCTCATTCTTTTGTTTTTTTTGCAGCGCTGGGGTTTGAACCCAGGGCTTCCCGCTCACTATGCAGGCACTCTACCACTTGAGCCACTCCACCAGCCCTTTTTTGTGTTGGATATTTTCAAGATAGGGTCTCATGAACTATTTGTCTGGGGCTGGCTTTGAATTATGATCCTCCTGATCTCTGCCTCCTGAATAGCTAGGATTACAGGCCTGAGCCATGGGTTCCCCTTTATTCTTGATACTTGGGATGGCATTGTTTTTCCTATACAGATAAACCAACCCAAGGAAGGGTACTGTGTTTTCCACCTGAAGTAGTTGTCCTTTTTGCCTTATTTTTTTCTCCAGGACATAGCCTTTAAGAAAACATTGCTTTTTATATTCCTTGCATCTAGATTTATGAAGTAATTCTGTCACATGTCTACATCTTTGGAGACATGCCTCAGTTTATAAATTTAACTTCATGCTCTTGGGCTAGCAACCGTTCTCTTTCACCGTTGGCCTAATAATTTTTGCACTTCTGGATGTCCAGGTCTTCATTTTTTGAACAATCTCAGCAGTTGACATTCTATTGGATGTTCTATATTCCCCCGGAGTTTCAAAACCAGCAGGGACAATAGAGGTCATGTCCTCCGATTTCCCCCAGCTTACAGATGAGGAACTAGATAAACAGACTCCCTCACTGATAGCTCTGAGGTCATATTGTCCAAGCACATGGGCTCTGGTTCTCAGAGCAATGTCCTTTTTACTGAAGTCCTCTCCCTCCCACCATCTAGTACCATTTGTTAGAGCTGAATCCACATTTCACTTTGTGTATGAAATGTAGGCTGATCAAAATGGTAAATGCGTTAGCATGTATTTTTCTAGGCAAATCTATAGATTTGAGGGAAATGGAAGAAACAGAAGTAAGATGTACCTACCATAAAAGAGGAATTGTAAAAGAGGACAAAGGAAGTGAGCACTGGATGCCAAGGAGTGAGGACAGGAGTACCCATGACTCATTTGTCAGTGTGCTGACAAACTGGAGATGGGATTAGAGAGGAAAACTCAGGGCATTTTGGATAATCTGAGTATATTCAGGGAATACCTGCTAGACAGGTTTAAGGTCATCAGACTTAAATGTCTTTGCATGAACACTGTCAAAATTGTCCCTGCTTCCTTGTATTGTTTTGTTTTGTTTTTGCAGTGCTAGGAACTGAACTTGGGGCTTTGGGCATGCTAGGCAAGTGCTCTACCACTGAGTTACAACCCCAGCCCATCCCTGCTTCCTTCAGGGAGACTTATTCACAGGTGATTTCTTTACCACTTTGTTGGGGGCAGCCACTCAGCCTTGGACACAGACCCTTGGCAATGTGCTTTTGAATTTAGGCATTTGGACCCAGTTTTCTTTTTGTTTGGGGTGGTAAGGTCTGCCTGAGGATAACCATAAGGACATGGTAGCCTGTGTTCTTATACGGGGTCTGTATTCTCTGATCACTCAAGTCAGGTGCTGCCATCCAGATAACTGTTTCTGTTCATATTTGCTCCGCCTTTGAGGGTGAAAGATGAAAAGTCACACATCTGTAATACAGGACTTCTTCACCATGTTGAAAGGATGAGGGGAATAAATGGATTCCAGCTGTGGATAGTTGGTGATTTTTAAAAAACAAACTTGTAAACAAAATTACTACTGTTCTTTCATTCCTGATTTCCTGGTTGTCTTTCTAAATAAAGTGATATGTCTGTATTTTTATTTTAGGAATCTCTCGAAGAAATATCAACCTAAGAAGAACTCGAAGGAGGAAGAAGAATACAAGTACGTTTATCATTGACATTCGTGTGGTGACCTTGACATTGGTGCTGACTGTGAAGGGACAGGAGGGATAAAAATAAGTTACAGTCCCCCTTCCTTTTTGTGTCCATTTTGAAATTGGGGAAGAACAGTAAGAGCATCTGTAATGAACTTATGCTAAGCCACTAGACCTGTCTTAGCCTATTTCCACTAGTTAGGAAAAGTTGGAGCACATGCAGGAAGTACAGAGGGTACATTCTGGAGCTTCAATTTGGTTTCGAAGCTCAGGAGATCCTGCCACACCGCTCATTCACCCAAGAACTATGCCCAGCTCTGTTAGCAGTTGGGGCATCTTACCGTGATGGCCAGCCTGCAAGCGTAGTCTCTGACTTAAATCCAGGCATCCCTCGTATAAAGTTCACGTATGTGTGTGTTTTGGGTTCTGTCCGGACCGAGAATTCACAAAGCCAACTACTGCATTACACAGAGGCAAAGCGTTTCAGCTGTAATTAATTCTGAGCCATTTCCTTGTGTAATGAATCCTGGGGATCCCCCAGGAGGCCGTGTGCATTCCCCTGACTTAATTAATATTTCCTTGACCTGGGGCCGGGCGAGGACGGATGTGGCCTGGTTTGAAAGGGGTGGGTGTGCTGTGCTCCGCAGGTACACATCATGTCAGGCTTTCCTCTCCACCCTGAACGAGATGAACGACTATGCCGGGCAGCACGAGGTCATCTCCGAGAACATGACGTCCCAGATCACGCTGGACCTGGCGCGCTACGTGCAGGAACTGAAGCAGGAGAGGAAATCGGTAAGGCAGGTTGACTTGATCTCCTCCTGAGAGAGGACTAAAGACATAACATCACAAAGAAGCCGTAAGAGCGGGAGACTTAAGCCGACATCTGGGAGCATGTCTAAACACATGGACTCTGCTCCTGAAATGCTTCTAGGTCTTTGCATATGATTTCAAGTGTCCCTCAGACACTGTGAAACTCACCCGCAGGTCCCAGAGTGTGGATTCCTTTGAGGAATTTAAATATTTTGGAGCATCTCAGACTTCAGAAAAACAGCAAGCAGTGGGATGTAGCATTTACTAACGAGTAGTAGTCAAACAAATCCAAGTTGGCCTTCCTGTGTTTTTTAATGTAAACCTGAGTCTGCAGTAAATTCGTTTATAGTGCCTTGGAGACACATGAACCAATAAGATGGATCTGGTTCCTAATGAAATGGAAAAGATATTAAGTAATAATGACAAAAATAGTTATTTAATTGCATTTATGATGGTTGCTACAAAGTGGGAGCATGGGTGTGTCAAGAGCAAATAATGGGGGTACCTGACATACTTTGTCTAGGTGGGGGTCAGTGAAGTTAAGCCCTGAGGGCTGAGGGACAAACATTCAGTAGGAGCAGCCAGTGCAAAGGCCCTGGAGCAGATGGGTATTTGGAACATTTCAGTTTACTTTCTTTCTAAACCATAAACATGTAGCCCATGTCTTTGGATATGTTTCGGGGGAAAAGTACAGGCCTTTTTTTTTTTTTTTTTTTTGTGGTACTGGGACTTGAACTCAGGGCCTGCACCTTGAGCCACTCCACCAGCCCTATTTTTGTGAAGGGTCTATAAAGATAGGGTCTTGAGAACTATTTGCCTTGGCTGGCTTTGAACCACAATCTTCCTGATCTCTGCCTCCTGAGTAGCTAGGATTTCATGCATGAGCCACCAGCACTCAGCAAAAGTACAGGCTTTAAGATTAATCCACTGGGGCTGGTGGAGTAACCCAAGCAATAAGAGCACCTGCCTAGTAAGTGTGAGGCTCTGAGTTCAAACCCCAGGGCCACCAAAAACCCCACATATTTATTCACCTGGAAGCAATGGGGATAATACTTGTTGGATTTATGTAGGGGGTTGCTGCTGGTGGGTAGAGGCCAGAGACGCACAGGACTCCCCCACAACAAACAATGTCCACAGTGCCAAGGTTGAGAAACCCTGAACTGGAGCCTGAAATTTGACAGCCTCTGCTACACTATTCATTAAAGAAGATATTTTATTTTATGAGACAGAAGGAAGCCATGAGTTGTTCAGAATATAGCAAAAGTACCTAATAATAATGATAAAATAACTGCAGTGAATCTGGACACAGTAATTGGCTGCTTCCTGGTTCCGAACTTCCCTTGACCTTGCAAAGGTTTGTATCTTCTTCCTGTTTGTTCTCTGTCTTGATGCTCTCTGTCTCTGGACTGACTTTCCTCCACCCATATAGCTTAGCATTTTAGCCAACTCCCTAACAAAAACTGCGTTTACCCTGGTAGGAAGTGCAAACTCTGCCTGGAGTGAGTCACAGGTGGGAAGTCCACATGACTGGTCCTCTTCCTCCCTCTCTGAATTCCTCTCCTGCAGCTACGTGGGCAGGCCTCAAGGCCTTTGCACTGACCTTCCTCTCCTTGGAAAGTCTTTTCCCAGAAAAGTCTCTTTCAGGAATGTTGCCTTGTCAAAGAAGTCTTTCCTCTCCACCTCTTTTAAAATGATAAAGTCCCTCTGCCCAGTGTTTGCAGTGGACGCCAGTGGGCATCCACGGTGACAGGCTTCAACTTCAGTCTCATACTCAGCGACAGAAATGACCGGCTAGTCTATACTCTGTGACAAAGGCGAGGGTGTACTGGGTTTAATGACAGAATAGGGATAATTGGGACATCAGTTATGTATCAGGAGCACTGCAATTAGTTTTAATACTATGAAGTGTGCTTTTTCTGGATTTCTACAAATTTACAGTGAATAGCATATCGTTTATTTATTAATTTATTTATTTTTTGCAGTAATTGAGCTTGAACTCAGGGCCTACACTTTGAGCCACTCCACCAGCCCTTTTCTCTGTTGGATATTTTTTATATAGGGTCTCTCGACAGTCTGGCTTCAAACAACAATCCTCCTAATCTCTGCCTCCTGAGTAACTAGGATTACAGGTGCGAGTGAATGGTGCCCGGCCATGTCATTTATTTAGAGCTCACATTTATTTACTCTCTGTTATTGACAGGGAGGGGGGTGTTTAAGGGGTTAATGCTGTGTTTCATTTACACAAATTATAAAAGAATTTTACTAAAATGAACTAAAGAACAAAACCAAGCTTGGGTGGCTGGTATGCATCTGTAACCCCAGCTACTCAGAAGGTGGAGGCAGGACCGTCAAGAGTTCAAGACCAGCCAGGGCAAAGTTAGTGAGACTCTATCTCAAAAACAAAAAAATACAAAAAGGAAAGGGCTGGGGCAGGGCTCAAGTGATAGCGCAGCGTGCAAGGAGGCCCTGCGTTTGATCTCCAATACAGAAGAAAAAAACATAAATGCAGTCCTTTTAAAGCAAATTCCTCATTCTTCCCAAGTTTTCTTTCTGTTGTCGTTTGCAGGTCTACGTGATGGTCAAGTGTTAGTCTTGGTCAGCCTGTGTGCTTAAGTGCTCCAGTTAATATCACAAGCACTTTCCATGTGTCTACTGAAAATGTATTGTTTTCATAATTAGACTTTTAGTAACCGTGTTTCACTCTAACACTCTTATAATTCACTCACCTAATTCTTTATTGCTTACTCTACAGGCTATTCCCAATTTCCAATTAATGGATTTAGATAGTTAAGCAATACTAAGTAACCTCTTTAATAACTTTTTTTTTGCTGGCACTGGGATTTGAACTCAGGGCCTCCCACTTGCTAGGCAGGCACTCTGCCACTTGAGCCACTCCACCAGCCCTTTTTTGTAATGGGTCTTTTTTTTTTTTTGAGATAGGATCTCAGGAACTTTTTGTCCAGGGCTGGCCTCAATCCTCAATCGTCCTGATCTCCGCTTCCCGAGTAGCTAGAATTAGAGGCATGAATCCCTGGTGCCTGGCTACAACTATTTACTTTGCGCACATGAGTAAGATTATTCCCCCAAGCTAAATTCCCAGAAGTGAGAATATGAGGTCAAAATACTTGTTTAAGCACCCATGGCTTATGGTCCTCGATAAAGCTTTGGTCATTTTATAAGATTAGTGGTCTTTCACAGAATTATAGATAAGATTTCTAAGTGTCAGTGAAGCCGTCTGTTGAGAATTGGCTTATCTGAGATGTGGATAACTCAGAACTGATAACGTACATTCCTGAATAAGAGCTGCTATAAACAGCTGGGCAGGTGGCTCACTCCTGTAATCCCAGCTATTTGGCTTGTGGTTTGAGGCCAACCTGGGCAAAAAGTTAGCGAGACCCTTTTAAACAATTAGCTGGTCATGGTGGCGTGGCCTGTCATCCCAGCCACATGGGAGGCGTAAAATAGGATGGTGGTCTGCACCAGCCCAGGCTTAAGCATGAGTCCCTACCTGAAAAATAAAACAGCCAAAGCTGAAAGTGCAGAGGAGGTGACATAGACAGCTCAAGTGGTAGAGTGCCTGCCTAGCATGGTGAGGCCCTGAGTTCAAACCTCAGTACTGCCAAAAGAAAGGACTACTGTAAACCCACTCTTACTGGTGACTGTTGCATGTTGAACCAAGAATCTTAAGAGATGGTTCAGCTCCAGCCTTGCTTCCATGGAGGGTGCTCTCGGTGATTCCCACTAGTCACAGGTGAGGAATTTGTGGACACTTGTGGATCCTGTGGGGGAACCAGGATGCCTTCCCCGACATTTGCTGGAGTTCCCAGTGCACTTCCCCATGGGTGAGCAGGGTGGCTCAGTACTTACAAAACACTGGCCAGGAATGGAAGCGCTTTTTTCTGGTAGTTATCTGATGAGTTGTAGAGGAGACAATTATACTAAAAATTTTACAAATCTCAGTGTATGTCTGCAGACCCCACATCACTTAGAATGACCACTTAAAGATTTTCCTGAGGTCTCTGAAATGTTTGAAAATTAATATCACACTAAAAACTGTAACATTCTTTTTAAGTTAGGTATTGTTAAGTCCTATTTATAGATCTTAACGAAGGACCTTCATCTCCAATAAAGCAGTTCTGCAGCATGGACTGCCTCCAATATGTTTAGAAAAAAATGTTTTTATAAGTGATTAGAGCAGATAAAACTTAGCATGAAGGAAAACAAAAGCTAAAAGGAATTTGTGTATATGACCTAACTAATTTCAGGTCCATTTCTGATTTATTAAGTCTATTGAGGTCTGACTGCTGCTTTGTTAGGCACCAAAAATGTAGAGCCATGGCAGTGGCTCATACCTGTAATCTCAGCCACTTGGGAAGCAGAGATCAGAGGATCCCTGTTTGAGGCCAGCCTGAGAAAAATGTTAGTTAGCCCCTCCCCCCATCACAATCAATAAGCTGAGAGCATGGTGACACGCACGTCTGGTCCCAGCTACGTGGGAGGCCATAGGTAGGAGGCCCAGGGCCCCCAGGCTGGCCCAGGGTGAAAAACATAAAACCCTATCTAAAAAATAACCTAAAAGGAAAAAGAGGTGGAGACATGGCTCAAGTGGTAGAGCACCTGCCTAGCAAGTGTGCAGCCCTGAGTTCAAACCCCACTTCCGGAAAAAAAAAAAAAAGTGTAGTGAGAAGCCCGGACTGGTTTTAGATTTCATGAGCTGGAGAAAGAGTGGTGGGTTTTTGTAGTGTTCTGCCCCGCGTTTGTTTAAATCAGTGAAAAAGCAGGAGGCCTCAAGTTGTTATTTGTCGGTCTTTCTCATGAGTCTAAGAGCCTGGTCAGCCCAAAGAATTTGGACTTCTCCTTGTGTGACTGCCTATGGTTTGGCCTTAGGCATCCTCCTCCCCAACGCATACCCGTATCCCCCAGTTCAATGTGTCCCTAGAAGGTATTTTGTTCAGTCTTCTTGTTTTGAAAGAACATGTAAA